TACGTCCTTTTCACATTGATTTTTCTAATGCAAATTTTATTTATTTATATTTTTTCTTCTGCTGAAAAGAATTACTTACAAAGAAATTAGGCTTACTACAGAAATCTTTTCCCATTTGTGAGTTCTATTCCTTTCCCCTCCCCAGTATAAATTTTGCATTCTTTTCATTTTATTAATTTCATTTTCTATTTGCTATATACTTTACTTTCAATTTAATGTATACATCAATAGAACTTAAGATCTGGTTGTCATTTAGGAAATAAAATCTACTAAGCTCTTCATTAATTTTCTATAACTAATTTCCATTCATTTCAGCATTTCATTTTAAAGTGTATTTTCTTAACTTTAATATTAAGAGTAGTAATATATTCCTTTTCTTAGGATATATATAAAAATGAAAAAAAAAATTTGGTAAATCCACAATACATTTATTATTTCTGGTTATATAAAATTATGGAATATTAAAAAACAAAAATAACATAAATTCGTTATGGCAAAAATTACTACAAAAGCAGAAACTGGACTATAAAGTGCAATTTTCTTCAACACTTTCAGGCCCCCCTTTTTTGTTGTTGTTGTTATGCAGAGCAATTTTTTACATGGTTTTATTTTAATCCAGTTTTATTATTTGTTTAATTGTCATGATCGAATTTTATTGGAACCCTTCTAATGAGCTAATTCTTTGGGTATTGTGCACATATACTTATTTGTAATTACAAGGTGTGGCTATTAATTTTCAGGACTGCTCTAATAACATCAGAACAGTTGATGTGAAAAAAGTAACCTTTTAATATGTTTTGAAGTAATTCCTATCGGTCGTAATACACTTTTGTGCTTGGCTGTATAAGTTGTGGAAACAACTTTTAAAGTACTTTTTCAGGATAGCTCTTCAATGTCAACAACACGTTCTTCTTGATGCCTTCAACATCAACAAAGCGTGTTACTTTGATCACAGTTTTGAATTTGGGAAACAAAAAGAAGTCTGTGGGGACCAAGTCAGAAGAGTACGATCGAACATTCCCAAACTCAAAACTGTGATCAAAGGATGTCTTTGTCTGAAGATATCAAGAAGAATGTGACATCGACACTGAAGAGCCTTCCGAAAGAGGACTTTAAAAGTTGTTTTCACAACTTAAACAGCCGAGCGCAGAAGTGTATTACGGCAGATGGGGATTACTTCAAAACATATTAAAAGTTTATGTTTTTCACATCATCTGTTCTGGTGTTATTAGAGCAGCCCTGGAAATTAATAGCCACACCTTGTATAATTCAGTACTGAAGGAAGATCTTCTCAAATCTGATAGAAATCTTTTGAGAACTTATTTTTAAATTTTTTTTCGCATTTCCTTTCTTGAAAAATTTGAAATTTTGTGAAAATTTCAAAATCTCACAAAATTCTTTCTCCCAATATTTTAATATTTGTAGCATCAGATAAATTGAAAAATATTCTTCCATACCATGTTTTTCAGAAGCTCTAATTTATTGAATTTTAGAAATTATTCTGAAAATATTCCATTTTTTAGCTGTCCTGTAACTGCTGGTAAGATATTATTTTTAAATCAAAAGATTTAGTCTCTTATTGTTTGCAGTCCCATGATTTTAACTAATGGCTCATACTTCATTGCTATGCTGATTTGAAAACATATTTTGTCTCAATTTAGAGGCAGTGATTTTGCTATTCCCTGTTCTAAAAACTAAAAATAATAAAACAAAATATACATATTAAAAAACCTTTATCGTAGGTTACAAATATAAGACATACTAGAAAGTATTAGAAAAGCAACAGAATTTTAAACCAGAACAGAAGTGATAACATAAAAATGATTCATTTAAGAAGGATTATTCTCAAATCCCTTAAATTTCTTTTACATAATTTCGAGTTAAAATTATTCACTGGTAATTTCATGCCTTTATTTTAGTCACATGACCAAGGACAAATTAATTTTTTTTTTACTATTGATTGCATTTATCAGAGTAAATTAAATTTTGAAACATATATTTTAATATATTCTAATAATAACAATTCTTTAAATGACCTTAAAAGTTTTCTAATATTTACCTTTTACTTCACATGGAAATGTTTTCTTTTTTTTTTTCCTATGTGAAGAACGACTGTGCTGCTAATAATGACTATGCTGTGGAGAAATCTACAATTTGTACACAGCAAAATAATGGAATTTGATAGGCTAGAATTATTTAGACACATATAAAGAATGATGCATATATTCCTTTCATTTAAATAAGCAGATAGCATATGGATTCCAGTGTTTTAAATCAACATAACACTCTAATCAAGAATAGCTAAATGCCAAAATAGTTAAAAATGTAAAATGTGATGTATGCACTTGAAAAACGCTTACATAAATATCTGAACTTACTACAGAATTTCTGTATTTAAATAATGTCTTAAAGAATGTAGCAAATTAAATGGTTTATTTGATTATGGCAAAGCACTCGAGGGCTATCTGCCTAATAGGAGGGTTGCTTTCATTGAGGGCTTTCGAAGGGAAACTAGCTCCTATATGCATTACACATGAGGAAAAGCATAATATCACCCATGCAGCAAGCCCATTTTCTGGCATTCGAACTCCAGACCAAACTGCCAATGTTTAGCAACTTTACTGCTTGACCACTGGTGAGCCGCAAATTCAATGAATTATTCATAATTGCTTTTAATCTCAGACATATACTAGAATTACATAGTAACACTATACAGTATTTACTGTAAATATTAAAAATGTCTAAATACGCAGAGCTGCCAAACTTTCGCAGAACTGGAATACAGGAGACTGAAAACTTTCATTGCATCTCCTAATAAACTACATATCTTCTTGTTTTTAATCAATCTAAATTTAATTACCACCTTCAAATACAGTTTTAGACAAAAAGAAAGAAATGCTGTGAGAAAAAAAATTATGATGGAAAATTTTGAAAAGGTGAAATAATTGCTAAGGCAACAAAAACCTTAACTATGTAAATTCATTTTCTTCTAAATTTCATTATATTTTTCTAATTGATTTTTATTTGAAGTAAATTGTTTAATCCACTCCAGATATATGTAAATCATTTAATGAAGATTTAACTAATGTTTAATAATGTAATATTTCTATTTAATTTTGCTTTCAATATGCAGAGGATACATTCCTAAGTTACTATATGGTTACATACATAATAATTGCTAATTTTATTTTTATCATGTGATAAACTTTGATAAACCACTTAAATGCTCTATTTGAGATTTCATCATTATAAAATTTCAACAAAGTTACAAAATCAAATGCAATTAGGCAAAAAATATAATTTAAAATAATGAATTAAATATTAAAGTAAAATATTTTATATCAAAGTCATCTTCTAATTAGTTTAATAGCCTGAATAATATACATACATGAACCCTATCTCAAATTATTATATATAATGTTAACTACATTGGTTTCCAAAAGTTAAGCAACATATTGAAACATCATGATAAATTAGCTATAAGTAGTTTAAAAATTTTTGAAATTTGGATGTGTTACAAATAAAAGTAAGCTGCATTGAGTAGCATTATGCAAGAGGTGCTGCTATCATTTTAAGTAAATATAAGTCAGCTTAAAATCAGCTGTATGGAAGGTAATTACTATTGAATTACTATAATATATTAAACAGTTTACAGTTAGCCAAAATGTAAAATTGAATTTGAGGCTGCATTTGTCAGCAGATTACATTATGTGTTATAGAGCCATAGGTCGATCCGAAGCAGGTCAATGACAGTTTGGTGTTGCAACCTACCAAAGGTAGACCAATAATTAGCACTTCTAAAGATGACCAGTATTTGTGACTTTGTGCACATTGTATCTCCATCTCAGCTTAGATTCATGCTTATTTCTGCTACAGGAAAGATAGTATGTATTAGTAGTGATAGTGTGCAGAAGGCTGCATGAAAAATATCTGTATGCTAGAAGTCCGGTATTGTGTGTTCTATTTACCTCCCACCACCATTTAAATTGTTCACACAGTTATGTAAAATGGACTGAAATACAGTGAGGTCTGTTCTGTTCACTGACGAGTACTGCTTTGCTTTACACAGCAATTCTCAACATGTTTATATATTCACAGAAACAAACACTCACAAATTAAACTCTCAATCTGACAAAAAAAAAAAAAAAAAAAAAAAAAAAAAAGACATTTATACAGAAGGTAGTGTTCTTGTATGAGACTATTTTTAAATGGGTGCACAGGTCTGTATATGTAGCTATGTGGAACTCTTATTGTTTAGAAGTACAGAGACAACATATTGGATCTTTATTTTTCATCTGTATTCTGCCACAATTGGCAATGCTTTCACTTTGCAAGCAGATAACACCCACCCCTCACACTGCTTACCTGATGTGCCACTATCTTGAAGAAGAAATTATAATCCAAATGGAATAGCTAGCCTGTTCTTGGGAGACATGTTGCTGGCCTCCTACCCTAGATGGGCTTAGGACTGCTTTACTTGATCAATGAGTATTAGAATCAATACTAAAGCAATATCAATCATGTGCATTAAAATGGTTACCCATGCAACTGATTGACATCATCATAAACAGCATGAAAGATTGTCAGGTGTTCGAGGTGATCATATTCGTTACTAAGAATTTTTTTATATTTAATTTGTATATTCAAATTTAGATTTCATATTTCTGTTGATGTCACAAAATATAAATACCCTGTAAGAAAATTGTGTTTTTAAGTTACAAATGTTATAATAAATATTTACATCAAGTTTGATTGTATACTTTTTGAGTTATAATCAGTTTCCTATTTATTGCTTAGCTTTTGGAAACTAGTGTATAATAAAGTGATTTTAAGATTTGTCAATAAATTCATTCTGAAGTTGCATTGCTGTACAGTGTGAAAATCTCTAGATTTTTTTTTCTATTTCAAGGTTGGTGGCTATAAATAAATAATTTTTGGATTTTATATTTAACTTCAGCATGCAAAAAATTTTAAAAATTTCACAAAAATATAAAACTTACACGATCAAGAAAACATTGGAAAAACCATTTTAAAGTATAGAGACTGCTGTGGATACCAAATTTGTCCATGTGTTTTTTCAGTTTGGGAAGGAACTTTGTTAACAACTTATCATGGTGTTCTTGAAATCTCTTCAGTTTTGGAAAGCCAGGTATAAAGAAACCTACAAGAAACACATAAAATGAAAATTACCTTTCAGAAATTTCATATGCAAGCGATTCATGTGCATTAATATGCTGATGCCTGAAACTTTAAATTTAGATAATTCAAAAACTGAAAAAACTACATTTAATTTCAGTTTCTTTTGTTTAGGAGCTTAAAAAATAAATAAAAGTTCACAAAATAAATAAATAAAATTTCACAATCAACTTCAAGCTTAGAATTGAGACTATTCATCAATTCCTTTATTTTAGTGTCTATTATAAGATGTTTTTATTGCAAGCTATCTAATTAGACGCTCAGTTCGATTCAATTTTATCACTTAATAGTTATTTTACAAATTTACGCTAGGTTTAGAATGCAAAATTTTATCATTTTTAAATTAGCATATGAATCTAGACCAGCGGCTCTCAAACTTCTGACTAATGTGTACCATCTAAACAAAAATTGAAAATCTTTAGTACCACCACTACATTCTACAATGATTATTTTTCAGTTTCTGAATAGAAATATTTTTAAACAATTCTGAAATCTTTCAGATTTTATATTATGCCCAAAGGGGCTTTTTTTTAACATTAAAAATAATTAAATATCTTGTTCTTCACACTTAAACCATAAAATTGAATTCAACAGCAGTATCACAAAATATTAAAAAGAGCATATCCTTAGTATTTCCAATACACTGTCTCATGTGCTGGAGATTAAAATGTTTTTTTTTCGTACAGTGTTGCCATTGCTCACTTTGAAATCGTTGAGTTTATTAATCAAAAATTCGTTTAAAGTGTTAAAAATTTGAAATTTTGGGGTATTTAATGCAGGATGATGGGGTATTTAATTTTTAAATTTAATAGTTAAAAATACTTTGGTTCTTTGCATACCACCTTTTATCTCTTGCATACCACCAGTGGTACATGTACCACCATTTGAGAACCCCTGGTCCAAATGAGTTTAATATGCAGTACAAAACCCGTAAGCTGGATGTCCATTATCCGCAATGATCTATAATCTGGACCTCAAAGCCACAAACTTTTTTTTTGTATGTATGCGCATTTAATGCATAACGGACGGTATAAGCTAGGCTAAAATTATCTTTACTGATTCTAAAGCATTTCAGTTAATGTTGCGGATTGCGCTGTTCCTTAATCTTTTAATTGGATCCAGCTTATTATTTTTTGCTTATTTATTAAATATAGCTTCCAATAGTGAAGAAAGTGACAGAGAGGTTACTGAAAACGAAAATATTTTGACTGACAAGTTAGTCAACAATGCCAACTAGTGGCTCACCATTTGCGTTCTGACCATACATTCTATGATGAATGTTGCTCATATAGCTGTCTTCTTTTACCCCCTACCTAAGTTTTGCTCACTTGTTCAGGTTCACTCTGTATACAGGAACCAGAGGAATGTGTAAAAAAAATAATTTTGTATTTTATACAAATCTTTTTAAATATTTAAAAGTATGATTCTTTACATCTTTTAAAACATTTCTGTGATAGGAAGTTTATGTTTACAATAAATAATTGTGAAAATAAAAGCTGGGCTGCCCAAACAGTATAATGCTTAGGGGTGTCTAATGTGGTACCGAAGGGCCTGGGTTCAAATCGTGGAAAAGGCACGGATGTTTGTAAATGTGTAGTGTCTGTGTGGCATGTGGTACTCTAAATATGTGAGAAGCTGAAAATCCTCTCGAAAGGTTGGCGGTAGGGAAACAGGGATGAAAGAACCTCAGACATGATATGTCATTTAAATCAATTTGCAGCAAAGTTAATCAGTAGATCCCCAGCTAATAACAGAATCGATTACAGGTATCCTCTGATTTATGAACATTTGCTTTTTAGTTATGATAAATTAAAATTAGTACTTTTTTAATTAATAAAAACAAGAAGATAATTTTTCACTTTTATGAAGAAGATGATCAGCAGAGAGATGAATAGCAGTTATGAAGAAAGACGAACAGCAGTTAGCCAATGATTGCCAAAACAAATGATAAATGGTTATTACATAGCATATGGGTTTAATACAGTTTCTTCCGTATGGTTTGAATGCCTGGAAAAAAACTATATAGTAGGGAAAATATACCAGCCTTAGTAATCAAGTCTTTTGCAAAAGACAGAGGACAATAATATATTCTGAAACTGACCATTCAAATTGATGCAGCTAAGTAGCAAAGATGCAGTGAATTACATTGAGTACTTAACTTTATTGAACCCAATGAATGACAAACTCATCACAGCTAACAAGCTAAAATTTTAACTTAAAAAGACTAACTGAAAAAACATGTAAATAAAAAATACACAGTTTTGAGATAATTTTTAAATTATTATTATCATAGCAGATTATATCCTCTCACTACAATGTCTTTATTTTAGACAGAAAGTAAAAACATATTTCACTGCACTTACACATTTTTTATTTATTCATTTTCATATTTATTATCTCTTATTTAAATAATTATACATAAATATTTTTATATTGCATACAAGTATATCATGCTTATCAAAATAATTTTGTGTTCTTTGCATAAAGCCTAATTACAAACATCACACTCTCTAATAGTGAAAAAATGAAAAGTCTTCTTGTGATCATTGTCCACTGTTCATAAGTACAATTGTAATTAAAAATTTCAACTAAAGATACTACACTGAGAGTAAATTCAAAAAAAAAAAATTAATTAATAGACATAGCCATCAGAAATGGGAGGGGGGAAAAAAAAAAAAAAAAAAGGAGTCTAAACTGCAAAATGTTTTAAATTTTACTCAAAACGAAAATCAAGGCAGCCAAATTTAAAAGCAAATATGGAAAATATTCTTACCATGCATAGCATGCTTGCTATCCGTCATTAGAACAGACAGTGCCCAAAATGTATCCTAAATAAAATTAAAATAAAATTATCATAAAATTCATAAATCAGTCATTTTAAAATTGTTATAAAAATTAATAAATGACATCTCTTGACTAATAAAATATATTTTTGGGCAAGGGAGAAGCAAAATATATTAGGGAAGCTAATATTTAAGAATTTAAAACTAATGAATCAATGAACAATAGAAGATACATATTTAAAGTTCTAATGCATTTTCAGGTTAATCTAGCCAATAATCTGGAAATATTATTAGTTGAAATTGCTTTCTACAATACAGCTAGATTTGAAAAGTACAGTCAAAAGTCGTTAATCCGGACTCGTCGGGACTTCGGCGATTCCGGATTATCGATTTTTCCGGATTATAGATCATCAGTTTAAATCTCGTAAGATGGCATGCAGAAATTCTAAAATTAAAAATATGAAACCGTAATTTATGAAATAAAGAACAATTATGATCTAAAGGGTATCAAAATTTGCAAAAAGAAAAAGCTTAATATTTATTTGTTTACTTTATTAAACATTTCTTTCAATGTAAGTTGTTTAAGTTTTGCTTCGTTTCATGTGATAATACTTTCTCTTTAATTCTATTAAACAGACATAATTTCTTGTTCAGTTACAAAGTTCCGCCGTTCAAGTCCTATAATTGCTGTGTCAAGAACACCGACTAATTTGTCAATCGAAATTTTTTTGTTTTCAATAACCTCTGTCACTTTTCTTCGCTATCGGAAGCGAATTATATAAGCGAATTATAATGACGAGGAACTTGATTTAAATCATATCAAAGACCGAGATGAAATACTACATTTGGTAAGGAATTATAAGCCAAATAAAATAAAAACATCTGCGCTGAAGATAAGGATAGTGCTGAACAAATCAACTTCCAATTCATTAGGCGCCCACAGCCGAGCAGCAGCATGAAATTGATAAACAGATTTCGGATTTCAAAACATACTTTCAGCTTTAGATCCTTTACATATTAACAAATATATATCGGAAATTCTATTTGATATAATCGAAAGTTTAAGCTTACTTTTATAAAATTGCTCTTACAGTCTGCAAAAAATAATAAGCCGGATGCAATTCGAAAATTAAGGAACAACGCAATCATGAACATTAACTGAAATAGATAATTAGATAATTTTAGCTTATACGTCCATTATACATAAAATGCGCACGCGAAAACGTATTCTGCACTTGCGCACACTCATATGCGCAGTCGTAAAAGGTCTTACGCGCACGCGTGAACGCCTCTGCGCATGTGTCAACGTGCCGCATGCGCATAAAGTTTTTAGTTTTGATGTCCGGATTATAGATCATTCTGAATTATGGGTGTCCGAATTAACGACTTTTGACTGTATTTTATTTATATAGTTAATTACGATTTCAAATAACACATTTTTTTTTTAATTAATGAAGAAAAAAAGCAAGAGAAAGAGTATGCAAAAACTGTTTTATTTATATTGATGTCAAACAAATTTTCAGATGTCAGAGAAAAATGACACAGCAGGAAAAATCTTTTAGCATATGAACATGGCTTGTGCATATAATAGACATTTAGCTACATAATAAATATATGCTTCTTATACTACATGATAACTTCCTAATGTATCTCAAGCTGCAGACTTAATTTTTTGTCAACAAAGAGGGATTTTGTTTTTGTAACTACAGAAATAGCAGCACAATTTTGTCTCTAAGCCTTATTAGGGAGGAACCAATAAAAAATGTATGACAATTTTAATTTTTGATAACGTCTCTGCTTATGATCAGTTATTCAAAAGTCGATATATAACTGATGATTATAATTCGATTTTTCTATAAATTGAGGGAGATCACTGATATATTTTAGTTCCTGAACCCTTTGATATTTTAAATCACAAATTATTCCTTTGAAAAATAAATTTGACAAATGTAGAACTTTATATTCAAGCACTTAAGTGATTCATAATATTGTGGCAGTCTATGAGTGAGCAATGAAAATGCAATGCTAGTATAATTTGCCTCACAGAATAACTATTTCTAACAAATTCGAGAATATTCTACATAATTGCAGACTAACATACACTATGGCTGCAAGCAAAGGAATAACATCACTCACCATAATTTTAAGGTTAGGCTACTGCTACACTGTAAGATAGCTTGTCACGGCTTGAAAGTACCACCACTGTACTTAGCTATAAAATATAGTTTCATTACATTGACTTCATAAACTATTTCAGCTGTTATAAATAGTTTTAATATTTGGCTTCACAATTAATTTCCTTATTTCTAAAATATATTTGACTTCTAAATCATGTGCATATTCAGCATTTATATGAATTTACAAGCTGCCTATCTGAACTAATCCTTTAGAGAAAAAGCTTGTAATAAAAATAGAGGTCACTGATAGTTAAAGTGCATGAAAAACAAAATTCTGAAGACCACTGATTTAAAGCCAGTAATAAAGCTAGTCTGTGATAAAAAAATGTTGCAAAGGCTTGTTATACAATAAAAATTTCAGAGAAATTTCGTACTGTGCCGTCTAATCTATGTTAATGTTTGATAAGCAGTTCTGCTTTTTGTTAAAGTTCCTAAGAAATAAATATATGCTTATTATTATTGGACATTTAAATTTCATTTCTGTGAGTGCTTGTCATCAGGGATCCATTACAATGATTTGGCCAAGGAGCCCATAATGCTATTAAGATGGCACAGCCAGAGTTTCCTTATTTAATTATTCCTCCCAAATAAATCAGAAATCTTTTGAATGATCATAACAAAATATAATACAGTACAAAACATTATGGAAAACAGCAACAAATGACATCGAAATCATACTTTGGGCTTGACTCTAAAAAACTGCCCTCTGAATGTTCACAGTTTAAAAAAATTATTTTATACATAGCTTCAGTGTGATTTATTTTTTTTAGCATTCTAGACTACTATTCTTAGCATTCTAGACAACTTGAAAATAAACAAACCTCATCATTCATAAACATTAGAAGAAGACCTGCAATTTGACTCATTCCTTGGCAATAACCAACTTCCTGAAAATAAAGGAGTAATTTTTACTCAATTTTTACTTTAATTTCATGAAACAGCTGAATATGTTGCAAGTAGGGAAAAAATGTCAAAAATACAAGATATCCATATACAGTCAATTTATCATATCATTAATTAGAAAAAATTAACATTGGAATTTAATTTTCCATTTCATAATTTTTCTGTAATTTGTTTACCATTAATTTAAAAAAAAAATATGCAATTTGGGAAAAACTTCCAATGGATATACTTTGTTAATAAAATTGAACCCCCCCCCTCAAAAATGACAACTTTCCAGCCTAGGCAGGAAAACATTAAACTGTGATATAATCCTTAAATGTGATGGAACCTTGGATCATGAAACAATTCAGGAACAAACTATCTGAACAAAAAATGCCTTGGATGATGAATGATGTCTTGAATTATGAACACTCAAGTTGGCAACTTAGCAGATTCAAAGATGTTTTGAAGTAATCCATATCACATGATTAACATTCAGGGACTTCCAAAAACATGATTTTAATATTTTCCATTGTTTAATTTTCATTGATGAAGCCTGACAACTTACAAGACTATGAGTGTGACCTAGAGGAAAGTGTGAGCAAGTTAGATCATAGGTTAAAAACTGAGTACTTTGACATTTAAAAATTTTTCTGCTGTCAGTGATACTGTGTCTCTAGACAAAATCATGAGCTAGGATGTTTCAATAAAGACATGGAGAAGTTACTAGAGAATCATAAAAAAGAGCTCGACAGGAATGAAATACAGCTTCAGAAGCAATTAAAAAAAGTTATTGTGGAAGAAATGTCTGTGGAGAAAAATATTAATCTCGTTCTCTGAGCTACAAAATTTGTGAAAGATGAGATAAGATTTTTCACAACCTACCCTGATATAGTAATAGCAGGCTACAGCATAAGCATTTTCAATGACAATGCTGTGTATCACTTTAGATTCATTTTAAAATGTAAACAACAAATCACATTGCACAAATTTTAAGTGGAACTTAAATCGACTGAGTTTCATGTCAAGGGTATTTAAAGCTAAAGAAAAGATGAAAGAAGATGCCAACTAAGGAAAATAGCAACTGCAACATAACCTGATATTTTAATGGAAGGGGATTTAGCATTTAAACAATAACAACTTAGCATTTTCCGATTATGCAATTTACTCTCCTTCCTACAGGTACAACAAAATTAACATCTATTTTATATGTTTAATATTGTGATTATCTTTTTTGTTTTATATTTACTGTTTTCTGTTGATTTTGGGTTATCAACTTGTGCACAAGGTACTGTTATAAAGTTTAAATAAGCAATCAGGGACGCACCATCCACATGGGCAAGGTCGTGCAGCACTCAACTGTGCCAAAGCCTTAAAGGGACCTAGGGTAATTTTATTATCTACTAATACTGACTGATGGTGAAATTACATTACTCCTATTCGTTTAGGGGCTCTAGCTAGGTGCACTGTTTGCTGTTCGATCAAAAGTTTTTAGGTTTATTAAAATGCTTTCACAGTCAATACAGGTTTACTAATTGTTCATTATCGTCATGAGTGTGTGAGCCATGTGAGCATACCAAACATATGTATTCGTAACTCCTAATTTGCTAATATAATGATTGTTAAAAACTGAGCTATCCAGACTAGATATGATCCCGGGCCAATACAAATTTCTAAATAGATTGGAGGGACGCACAAATAAAAAACACATTTTTTAAAGAAAAGGTTTAATAGCGTAACATAAGTTACTATGTAACTGTTACATAAAATTGTATTAGTGCTTCATTAATTTATCTTTTACAATGCTTTCAATATCAACATTATTTAGATTTTATAAAATTCATCGTGAAATACGCACTTTCACAAAGATAGATACTGCCCATCATCAAACCCATTTTCAAGCCAAGATTGGTTAATTTGGGGAAATGCTCATCAAGGAGCTTAAAAGAATCTATTCCAGACTCTGTTCTGCCCTTGTAAAAGGGGTCTGATTGTAGGTCACATAATGCCAATTGATAATCAGTCTTTACACTTTGAATTGCAATTGTTAATGGATGAATGAAAAGTGATATATCACTCTCTAATTCTTTAAAATTTGCAAATCACTGCTCAGGTACCACAATTACACTGTCAATATACTTCAGGTGATCCTTAAAGGTACATCCTTCAAAATTTTCCATCTCTGTGTAATGTTCTTTGCAACTCGGAAAAAAAGAAAAATTACTCTGCTCTAACATGTTTTGAACAATTTTAGTTTACTTCTAAAACCATTCACATATTCCTACAAGTTGCCAATATTGTATCCTTTGCCTCATAACTTCAAATTTAATTCGTTCAAATGTTGTCATATCAGTTAAAAATGCAAGATCATCCAGGAATAAAGGATCTTGCATACAATTTTGCAGTTCAAAAATGTCTGATTTTATTTCATTTTTTAGAAATAAAGGCATTTTTTTCATAAAGCAAAAAAACGTTCAAGGCACTCCCCAGCACTAAGCCATCTTATTTTGAAGTGTAATAACAAATCTCCATAGGTTGCATCAATTTCACTTAAAAATCTCGAAATTTTCTATGAGTTGAAGCTTTGTTTCCGCCTCCAATGAGACTTTTCATTCTAACAACAACTTTTATGGCATTCGTTTGGCTCAAAGATTTTCCACATAAGGCTTCCTGGTGTATGATGCAGTGAGTCAACAGGGAATTAATGCCGTTTTCTTTAAGAAGTCCTACGAATCCTGTCACTGTTCCCATCATAGCTCCATCAGTTACAATGCAAGAAAATTTTTTAAATCCTCCATAGTCTATGGCAGTTTAATTGACAGCTGAAAAGATATCAGCACTTTTAGATGTTCTGTGTAACGATATCAAATTTAACATTTCCTCCACAATAATTAATTTTTTTTAAATGCAACGAATAAATATTAATAGTTGAATGATATCTGTCTGGTTGGTACTTTCATCCAAACATATTGAGTAGTATTCACAATCTAAAATGCAATCACATAATTTTTTGTAAACACATTCACCTATATCATCTACTCGTCATGCCACTCTTTGATGAGATAATGCTACAGATTCGAACTTTTCCGCCAACTTTAGCTGCATGAAGCATTGAGCCATTGAAACTGTGCACTTTTTCATTAAAATCCCATCACTGAATAGTAAAGAAACTTCATAAGACACAGCCAAACTTTGTTCATTCTACAATAATTTTTCTTGCTTCACCGATAATTTTTTTATACTTTTCTTCATGTAAAGTAGTATAATGCCGCTTCACATTGTATTCCTTATTCATTGACAAAACTTGCATACAAATCATACACTGAATTTTATTGTTCTTGTTGCAGATCAGATAGTCTAATCCCCATTTTTCATTAAATGCACGATTTTCATCACTTATTTTTCGCTTCTTCACAGACATAATGAGGTTTGTTATTTTGCAATAGAGTTCTATTTACTATGCAATTAAATCACAATTTTAAATTGACAAAAGAAATAAATGAAGGAGTATGCTCGAATTACACACAACCACTATGATTACTAAATAGTTATTACACAACACTCATCGTGTCAAATGACAACTAATAAATAAACGACAATCAACGGCCAGTGCTATTTCACTCCCTGATCGCACAGCATTTTAGCGGGGAAAGCTCACCCGACGGGTAGCAGGGAACCAATACGCAATCTAATAACTGCTGTAGCGGGCAGCAATATGCAAGTGAAATTTTCTCCAGTGCGGTACTCCGGAATTCAAGCCACATTGCCGATAAGGTGCAATTTTAATGTCCAACAACATTCCTTCTCTGTCGAATTGGGCAGCTTTTTAAAAGAATCAAAGCAGTGCAACTTCCGTTATTCTATGCAATGGCCTTGAGCGGAGATGGACAACTGTGCTTGGCCATGAATAAGGCACTAAACATGAGTCGGGACGGGACTCATAAATACGTACATATGAATACGATTCAATATTTGAATACGATTCAATAAAATGTCTGGTTATCAAAATTTGCATAACAAGCGAAAATGCGAGGAAGACTTAAAGAAAAGCAATTTGAAAGTTACCAACTTTTTTGGAAGCTCAGTCATTTTTAAGACAGTTCTTCTGCTAATAACATTAATAAGAGTGGTTTTCCATTTCAATCAACATCAAAGCTGCTGTTACAATTAGGAAAGTAAACCAATCATCCAATAGATTCAGGTTCTGATACATTCACACATATACGATAAAACCACTAATTTCATGCATCCCTGTACTTTGGATTACTATGGATTGTAAACCTACCACAATGCAAATTTTTTAAAGATTTACTGATATTTGAATAATTTTTGCACCGAAATATATGTGATGGCAACAACTAATCTGAAAGAAATTAAATGATAGTCTCTGAACATCATCATTGAATATAGTAATTATATTTTACAGAAAAATACTTCTTGAATCTAAGTTTAATAAATCTAACCCATAAATTAATGAAATAACTTAGTTTACATTAATTTATATACTTGTTTATGTGAATACAGGCACATTTTGCAGACTTACAAAAATTCTGTCAATTATTAATTAAAATAAAAATCAATCTATAACAACAGTAAACATTTAACCTGATGAAAACGCAACATTAGATCTATGAACATAATAATTACTTGTAATACATAAAATCTAACATAATCCTAAAATAATCTAAATTGTAGTTATATGAATCATAGTAATATTTTCAAATTTCTACTAGTATGAAATTATAATAATAAGCATCATGAAAAATATGCAGATTAATAATACTTACTGCATTATAAATAGAATATGCTGCTAAGACTTGAAAGAGAGACTGCTGTCTATAAAAATTAGAATGGAAAGTATTAAAAACTCAAATAATTAAAAAATAAGGTGACTAAGAAAACCAGTAAATATTTCATTTCAAAAACTAGTAAATGGTACATATTTAAAACGCATTAATTGTATTTCTCCTGAGAAATATTTTAAAATAAAGCTAGGAAGCAAAAATATTTTTAAATTAAGCTAGGAAGCAAAATTAAAAAAAAGCATGAAATAGTCACAAGTAAAATGCTAAAAAGCTTATCGCTTTCTGTAAAAATTTAAAAATTAAAAGAAAATTCGGTGAGGGGGATAGGGGAAGAATGATGTTATTCCTAAATTAAAAGTCTGCAGGAGATTAATGGTGATTTTTTTAATTCACTAAGCATGCAGAGACTGTCAGCCTAACATTAACGATGAAGAGCATTAACATTAACTCAGCATGTACTACTTACTGTCCATGAAATTCACACTGGGTTAACCTGGCATGATGAATTAAACATTTTATGAATGTTGAAAAATGAAAGAAAAGCAGATGTAAATACAAGAGGTTTTTCTAAAATGTTTGGAAATATTAAGCACAGAATTTTTTAAGTTATAAAAATTAATCATGCAGAAAATGATTTTTAAGATTTCCACAGTTCATCATCTGTATTTGAAGTTAATATGTACAGTCATGAAATACTTCATTACTTTTTACGTTTTTACAACATTCAGGACTATAAACATTGTCATATAGATAAATTTATTCCAAGATATTCTAATACTACATCAGCAGAGTTTTTAATTTAATAATTTCTAATACTGTTCAAATTATTGTTTATTTATATTTTTTGGGGGGGAGGGGAATGTCTTGTTTTGCAATTTTCCCTAAAGGTACATAACATAATTACATTGGAATTAAAGAAATAAAAACTATTTTTAACAATATTTACATAATACAAGTTTAATCTCAATAAAAATGTTAATTACATTTACTGTTATAATTAATCCAACCCTGTCCATTCAAAAAATATTGATTGGAAATCTGTGTTTCCAAACACACACACACATACACACATATATTTACTTTTTACTTCCTTTTTATTACCTTGCATTCTTTTATTTTGATTAATAATAATTTGGCTTAAAAACATACAACAGGATGATGCACTTAAAGAAGAAATCATAGAAACACATTTTTTGCTTTTCTATTGATAATGTTATCTCCAAGAGATGATGATGTCCTTTTATTAGTAATAACCTTTCAGTTAGTAATAACTTGCACATTCTTTCACTTATGTATAACTCATGATTAACACAAACACAAAAAAATAATAAATTATTCACTTCAAAAGGGGGGAAAATGGTACTAATGTAATCTTATAAATTGTTAAACACAAATTTCAGTAAGTGGACTTAATTTAAATGGAAGTCAAATTAATTATCAATATTTACTAATGATTCTATATGTATTTAAAAATACACAGAAAATCTTACTTGCAAAATTCTGGAATATGCCTTACAAAGAAACAAAAGTATTCACTCAAACATATATTAACAAAAAATTTTACATATAATTACTTAGGACCATATCTCTCACGAAACATTATATTATTCCGGAAAGTTCTGTTGACATCCAAGTCTATTTGCTTTATGTCTGTACAGTACAAACGTGACTGCTGAACCATTTCCTAAAAGAAAAAGGGTGGAGAATTCAAATATTATTTAAACACAGATATGCATATTACCACATTTTGAAAACTTACATAAAAGTACATTTTCAGAGATAAAAATCATTATCTATATACTTGATATTTTCCCTCTTGCTCCAACTTTATTTGAGGTACTCCCAGTAATCGACACCAAACTTCACCTCTGACAGCATTAGGTACACCTTTGTATACTCGTAGCCTCAACTAAAAAAGAATCCAATACACATATTTAAAACCACAGAAATAATATTAACAAACAGAGCACGGTTATTCATTTTATGAAAATATTAAGCTTAAAATAAATATATTTGGAAAAACTGCATTCTAAAGAACCATTCAAAGTTGTTACAGTGTTTCTCTAAAGTACCCAAAGAATTTGTGTTACTGAAAACCAGATCAATGTTCATTTAAACTGTGAATAATTTGCAAATCAAATCTGGAAAAAAAAAAATCCAAGATTGGAAGTGCAATGAATTGCATTCAGTTTCATCAGATTAAAGGAAAAATAGTAAGCTTCAATAAATTGTTAACTCATGTTAAATTTAACACATTTCTGCAATTATTAAAATCAATGTGTCTCCATGATATGTGCATCTAGCACATCTTTACACATAAACTAACTTTGGGAATCATTTATATTGGTTTTCAAAGGGTATTTGATGATTTTCAAAGGTTTCAAAGGGTATTTGATGACTTTGTAGGAAATAAGTAATGACTAGATATTTATAATGAGCACATAAGCAGAATTAAATCTGTAATTGATATGAAATATCTTCAATCTAAGAAAAACATTTTAAATAATTTTATCACTGATATTTATGCTGATTTCATACAAAATAAAGGGATATAATACATATGGAAAGATATTTTAAATAACATTTTTGTGTATTAATCCATACTTTTAAATTTTTGCTTTCCACTGTGCATCAAACTGTGCCTTTAATTTTATGAAGTAATCACTAGTATATTTTCCAAAATATTTTCAACAGGCATTTTCTCTTTGTATTTTCAGTACTGAGCAAATTTTACAGCATTTTAATTTTAACTTGCTTATTAGATTTTAACATAATACAGTGTAACCTCGAGATACAAGTTTAATTCGTTCCAGCAGTGAGTTCATATAGCGAATTTCTCATATCTAGAAACAAACTTCCCCACTGGAAATAATGGAAATCCAGTTAATCTGTTCCGCACCCTCAAAAATATTAACATAAAAAGAAATTTTTCTAATAAATAACACTGGTAAATAATGTAACCGTAGTTTACTTTTATGATAGCTTCTAACACCTTTTAACTACTTTTAACCTTTTAACTGATTCTTGTTAACACACACCAAGAACAGCTTCTCAACATCTTCTAGGCATTTTGGACGGTGCTTGGAAGTAATGGTAACTCATTTGACCACATTAAGTTTCTTAATTTCTTCCTTCTTTTTTAGAAAAGTACAGATCGTCGATATCGAACAACTAATTACGTCACTCTTACACCATGCTTATGTTTATCTCTGATTTCTTCCTTCATTTTATTTGCAGCACTATCAAAGGCAACAATCTTCTTGGGAGGCATTGTGAAATAATTATTTTCACATTAAATGTAAAAAACAATTTACTCACAAGCACACAAATATGCAGATTCAAGAACACTGAGTGATGCTATTTCTCAAGCCAAGCCGAATCGGGAAATAGCATACTAACAGCCTGGCTCATTGCTCGTTACTCCAGTCAGTGCTTGTATTTAGAGATAAATTTTTCGCTCATACTTTCCTCGTATCTCGAATTTCTCGTATATAGAGGTGCTCGTATCTCAAGGTTCCTATGTACCATAATATTAGAAGAGCTTTGGTACTTTTCTGTTATCGGGACCAGATTCAGAAATGTATACACACACATTTCTGAATCCAGTCCTGATAACAGAAATGTATTGAGCTTACATACACACACTGATTCTTGTATTTATCAATCAATTTAACTTATGCTTCTGTAATATTTACCTTATACAGTCAAAAGTCATTAATTCTGACACCCATAATCCGAAATGATTATAATCCGGACCTCAAAGCTACAAACTTTCTGCGCATGCATCCCGTTGACGCATGCGCGTAGGCTTTTACGCATGTACGTAAGATCTTTACGGCTGCGAATATGCGTGTGCGCATGTGCAAAATATGTTTACGCATGCACGTTCAATGTATAACGGGCGGTATAAGCTAAGCTAAAATTATCTAATTCAGTTAATGGTGCAGACTGCGTTGTTCCTTAATCTTCGAATTGGATCTGGCTTATTACTTTTTTGCAGACTGTTAGAGCAATTTTATAAAAGTAAACTTGAACTTTCGATTATGTCAAATAGAATTTCCATTATATATTTACCAATATGTAAAGGATCTACAAAGTGAAAATATGTTTTGAAGTCCATTAAACAAAAAGTGGAATTGCTGCAAAGAAATGGATAAAGGCATATCCTTTGTTTCTCTAACCATTCCGAAATCTGTTTATCCATTTCTCACTGCTCTGCGGGGGGGGGGGGGGGACACCGCGGTGCGCAATGAATTAGAAGTTGATCTGTCAGCACTATATCCTTAGCACAGATCTTGTTTATTTGGCAGATAATCTCGTTTTTTTAGTTTATTTGGCTTATAATTCCTTACTAAATGTAGTATTTCATCTCAATGTACTCCGTCTTTGATATGATTTAAATCAAATTCCTCATCATTATAATTCACTTCCGATAGCGAAGAAAGTGACATAGAGGTTATTGAAAATGAAAAAATTTCGATTGACAAATTAGTCGGTATTCTCGACACAGCAATTATAGGACTTGAACAGCGGAACTTTGTAACTGAACAAGAAATTATGTCTGTTTATAGAATTAAAGAGAAAATATTATCACATAAAACGAAGCAACTTAAAAACTGACATTGAAAGAAATGTTAATAAAGTAAATAAATATTAAGCTTTCTTTTTTTTTTTTTTTTTTTTTTTTTTTTTTGTTTTGTAAATTTTGATGCCCTTTAGGTCATAATTGTTCTTTATTTCATAAATTACGGTTTCATATTTTTAATTTTATAATTTCTGCATGCCATCTTACCAGATTTAAACTGATGATCTATAATCCAGAATCGCCGAAGTCCCGACGAGTCCGGATTAACGACTTTTGACTGTATATTTCAAAATTTTTTAATTTTTAAAATTTTTTTGGTTACCTTAGGTATGTCTGTAGTAAAGAATGCAATAGTAAAAAATATCTACAGTAAAAAATGCATATTAAAGCAAAGCAAGAAAAAATATTGCTCAAAAGGATATGAGCATTATTAACCACTTGCACTACAACTAAACTTCACGGTTGTGGTACCGTGCGCTACAATATAACAAGTGGTAATGTGTCTCATTTACGCTGCTCCCCGTCTGCGAGTGCAATCCAGAGCTGTAACTTGAGAAATAAACAATCTCGTTGTTAAAGGACGTGTGCACCACGTTATTTTCATTTTTGCGTGCGGTTTGAGACAAAAGCATCTCGGCGTGCGTTGCACGTCTTTTTAGTGCAAGTAATTAATCAAATTCAAACAAAGAATTCAAAATTTTTTATTGCAACTCATTTTTAAATCATAATTCCAAACTGGAAGCTAAGTTACATTACCTCATCATATTTGTGAGAATCAGACGAGGAGGATAGTAAAAACATTACAATAAACATTAATAGACAGATTTTTCAGTCAGAACAACTTTATAATATAATGAACTTTTACATTAAATATATTAGTTCTAGAAGGAGAATTATAAATTGAAAATTACAGTAAGAAACAGCTACGATAATGATATTACCTATCAGGAAGCTTACTTTTTCAGTATCTTTGTACTTGTCCCAGTTCTTTATCATTTTCAGCCATTTTCCCAATCTTTCATTTTCTCGTTCACGAATCTGAAAATCACAAAAGTATGCAATACGTTTTTATAAGTATAAAAATTAAGCATGCATTTGAAGCACCGAAACTGTATCCAATTTAATTTACAAGCATCATAAATTCTGAACAGTAACATATACACAGGGTTGAATCTGTGCTACAGATTTCGCTGTTCGTTAACTGATTCATGATTGGGGCATTGTCGTTGCAATGAAAAATTTCTAGTTGTTCTGCGCATGCGTAAAGCATACAAAAAAAGTTTGTGCCTTTGAGGTCCGGATTATACATCATTCCCTGATAATGGGCGTTCGGATTACGGACTTTGTATTGTATAAGCATAAATAAATATATCTTATTGTTACTGTTATAAATCCATGAAAGCAAGACATTACAGCACAGAAATTTTTAACTTTCCTTTGATGTCCTGAATCCCTCACTCAATGAAAGCTAAAAAAGCATTTTCTAATACTTTCCATTATTCCTCATTTCTACCTGATTATAATTATATGCTTTTAATATGAGTAAACTGAAATCAAGTATCAGAGCACCTGTAACAATATAAGAAATTTTTACTTGAGTAAAGAATAATGCAGTTATTTGAAAAGCAGAATTAATGGATGTACTTCACTTCTAAGTCATACACACTCCTCTGGAAAGAATGAAACAAGTACGATGGACCATCTCATGTTAGACATAAATGACAATAGAGATAGAAAAATTCTTTGTCTTTTGTTTATTACAATCACAATTAGTATATACATATTTTGAGATCAGCATGATGCCATTTAAAAAATAAATCAACAAGATATAGCACCAGTTGACGAAGTTTAATAAATAAATTATTTATGATTAAAAATAATGTTATGTATAACACCATTTCAAACTTATCCATTCTTCCAAAATAAAATTATTGCTGTGAACATCATTAGCCACATTTAATGGGACAACATGCAGCAGTTTGATTATGATTGGCACAAACAAAAAGAAAATTATTTGTTAATAAAATATTGGGTCATCCGAAGAGTTCTGAAATTTTTTTATGATAAAACATATGAAATAGTACAAAAGTCATGGAAATAGAAAAGAAAGGAAAGGCCCAAACTGATTTTTCCAATGCACTCCCTTGATGCAATGACCTACCTCTCTTGTTTACCAAAACATTCAGTGACTTGCCATTACGATCAATAGGTTTTTAGATGCTTGGAGGAGAAAACTTTGTAATTACATTGTAAATATTATAAATGCATACATTTTCTTTTTCTACAATATTTCAGAGTCCTAAATATGTGAAAGAATGTATTTTTAAACAACATTTCATTCTTAACAGAACCAAATGCTATACTCATGCTCAGAACAGTTTTAATTTGATTGAAATATTCCCACAAGTTTTCAGAAGTAAATTTTAAGATAATTTGATTTTATTCAGTTAATGATCACAAAAATTAAAATCAAAGTTTGTTGTATTATTAATATTAAAATCACACATTATTCCTTTGCTATTTATAGGGCTTCTTTCTGAAATACTTTCTCAACTATGAAATGATATTCAGCTTCTGGATATTTTTTAAATCAAAAATCATTAGCTATGCTATAATTAATGCTAGGTTCATTTAAAGTTAGAGCACCTTTCATTTCAATAGTTAAATACGTTAAATATTGCTGACTGCCACATACATAACTTTCTATGAGTATTTCTGAAAGGGATTAAAAGAGGGGGTAATATTATTTAAAACTTGTAAAATTATTATAAAATGTAAGGAAGTAATTCTTTTAATACTTATTAATTTTTTTTTATCCTTGATTTCAGTAATATACATTCTAAAATTTCTATTTTACTACTTCCTTAAGTATGCATCTCACAAATTTTTTACAGCCGAAAACATCGCGGACGAAAACGTCGAGGAGAATACAACGCAAGGCGAAAACGTCGTGCTACAAAACATCGTGGGAGAAAACATCGCAAAAAGAAAACATCGCAGTTCTAAAACATCGTGGTACAAAACATCGTCGTCGAAAATAAAGCGCTTCAAAAACGTCGCAGTTTAAAAACATCGCCGTCGAAAATATCGTAGTAGAAAATAAAGTATCTACAAATCATCGCATGACGATAACATCGCATACATGCTTTTTTCAGGTTTTAATAATTGTAAATGGATATTCCCATAATGATTTGTGAGCGCAAGATGTAAAGAAGGATAATTTTTACTTTCACATTTCTTTATTAACTAATAAATTTTTGCTGAAAAGGTTAGAAGGAAACTTAAGCATAGAAAATTAAACGCAACTTATAGATTACACTCTTCATGAAAAATGACCAGTAAAAACTTTATGAAAAATGATTTATTAATGGCCTTTGTTAGTTAACTATGTCAGTTTAAAGTTCTATTAAGTGCTATAAGTTGCATCAGTTATCTATGCTTAAATTTCCTTTTCATTTTCTCAGCAAAAATTTATTAGTTAATAAAAAATATGAAAGTAAAAATTATCCTTCATTCCATCTTGCGCTCACAAGTCATTATGAGAATATCCATTTACAGTTATTAAAGCATGTCTGTGATGTTATCGTCATGCGATGATTTGTAGATATTTTATTTTTTACCACGATATTTTCGACGGCGATGTTTTTAAACTGCGAAGTTATTGAACCGCTTTATTTTCGACGACGATGTTTTGTACCACGATGTTTTAGAACTGCGATGTTTTGTAGCACGACGTTTTCGCCTTACGTCGTTTTCTCCGCGACGTTTTCGTCCGCGATGTTTTTGCCGCGATGTTATCGGCGGACACCTTCATACCTGTTTTCTAGTACAAACAATTATTCCTTAAATAGTTTTATAAATAGATTCGTCAACAGAATTTCAATTTGTGTTTGTAATTAAATGTTAAAATAATTATATATATTTAGATAATATATATAATCATTATAAATTCAGATATAGTTAATAACCAGATTTCTTCACCGTAATATTCAGAGGGATTTATGAATGAATAAATCCTTGATTTCCAAATACATTTATAAAAAAAAAGTTTGTGCCTTTGAAGTCCGGATTATATATCATTCCCTGATAATGGGCGTCCGGATTACGGACTTTGTACTGTATAAGCGTAAATAAATATATCTTATTGCTACTGTTATAAATCCATGAAAGCAAGACATTACAGCACAGAAATTTTTAACTTTCCTTTGATGTCCTGAATCCCTCACTCAAATATTATATAAAATCATTAATAAATATTTATGCATTTAGTTAAATGCAAATTTATGTTTTTTACAAGGATATGCATAGATACTCATATATATTTAATACTTTCAATTTCCGGCATGTGTTCTGTGAATTTATCATATTTTTCGAGTAAAGTAATTTACAATAATTTAGCATATATCAGAATTTTTACATTGAATGAAAATCACATGCATTATTTTTAATGCACACTCAAAAAGACAGTTTTTTTTTTTTTTTTTCAGAAGTCCTCCATGAAAACATCTCTCCTCTTATGCAGATAACCTTTGCGTGCTTTAGTCTGTTTTAAAAACCTAACCTGATCTACACAACAAATTAAAAATATTATAACATGCATAATTTTATATTTACATTTAGGCATCAGGTTGCACACTTTTGACTTAAAACACATTTTTGGATACATTCATTATCAAATTTTCTAGTAAATATATTTTGGCAGAGCATTCAATAACTCTTAGAAATTTTACCCAATTTAATAGTTCTTTGATAATATAATAAATAGCAACACTTTTTAATCATTAACCTCATTGTCACCAAATCACAAGCTTGATTTCCATACTCTGCATACCAACATTGCTTCATTTTTTGGAATAGTTAAAACAATTAATTGATCTAAATTCATAAATATATAAGATTTATACAGTGTAAGGAAATCCAAAATGTACTGAAATACCGATTAATAATATTGAAGATGCTTTTTTCGTGTCCTGAAACTGTTTTGAAACCTAAACATTTTTAAAAAGTGCATATTACAATATTACGTGGATGATAAAAAGTGTATTTTATTTAAAACATTTTGATATTTGGAACATAAAATAAAAATAGTAAATACACGTTCAACGGCATCAAAAGCAGTATATGCTTATACCAGTTAGTTCTTTGGAAACTGAGCTTTAAAATGTATTATATTTTTGTGATATTTTGATATTTCAAAGATATTTATCATCCTTTATGCATAATATAAACATTTCGCTAAAAATCTACATTTTTGCAATCCAGTAGCTTAGAATTATGTTAAAGAAATTAATAATCGAAATCGCTGTTGCATGTTACCAAAGATAACGAAGATGTGATTTTTGTGGCAATGTCACTAAGCTATACAGTACTATTATCCATCCAGTAACGTATGCTTCTTTTGTGTGGAAGTGTCCCTGCTTTTCGATTTGTGTGAAACTGTTGCGTGTGGAAGCACTGCCAAGGGAATATGCTCAGAATGTAAACAAAAGCACCACATCCTCTTTGGCCACCAAAGCTCGGTAGCATGACGTTAGCTGGAGTGGAAGGAAGGAGTCTCCTTCTGTTCCTATCTCCTAACAAAAATATAAAAACCTTTCATTAAGTCACATAAGCACCATTTCATTTCGTCACTTTTTATCATCTTTTAGGTGCATGGAAAATTGCTTTTTTAAGAACACCATTAGGTTTATTTGTAAAGAAGTTATTGAGGTGCTGTTTGGTTTGATAGTCTTCAAAGAAGTTACCTCCAAATCATTTAAAGAATTTTAAAGTGATCTGAAGAAATGAAAATCTACAGTGGTAATATCTGGTGAATATTGCGGTGGCATGAAACATCTCAATAAATTTTTGCCACTTAAGAACAGTATTTTTCTGAATTTATTATCTGATTTGTATCAACAATTCACAGTATACCATACACACAGATTACGTTTTGAGGATACAATCCCCCTCTTAATGCTACTAAAGAAGGTTTTTTTAGCACCATGATCTTCTTCTTGAAATGTTATCATATAATATCTACTCCTCATCACCAGTAATGAGTCATTTAAAAAAAGGGAGTTTCTTCATTTTGCTTTCAGTACAGATCACATGTCAAAACTTGAATGAACATGTCTTGTTTATTTTGTAAGTATGGAGTACTCATGCAATACGGAAAATTACATATTCATTCTTCATCAAATACTGTACTTTTTGGAATAATTATTCTGTCTGATATTTCCTTAACGGTACAATTTGGATTTCCAGTGATAGCTTCATTTAATAGGTTCTTGTTTACAAAGGATGGTGATCCAGAGGAGTGTGACAAAGGCTAAAGTTGTCACACTTAAATTTCTCAAACTATTTTTTAACTGTGTCATCAGAAAGAGCACTTTTTTCCATATTTAAAACAAATTTTACAAGCAAACCTGGCTAGCAATCTCTTCTCTTTTTTTTTTTTTTTTTTTTTTTTTTTTTTAATAATAAAAGAACATAGTATAAAAAAATGAACTTTTGAGTTTACCATTCTTAGCACTGCACTGAAACAAAAATTACACTTGAATTTTGCAACGTTAGCAGAAAAAAAAAAAAAAAAAATATTTAAACATCCGCTTTGATCAAGTCACTCTAAGTAATGGCATACCTTACGAACTAGAAAAACTTCATTATCGGATAACATGAATTTGAAAAATTTCATTATCGGATAACATAGAAAGTTTGTCATATTTGCCTTCCATTATCTCTTCAGAATATCACCGAATTCTATTTCATCTTCACCATCTCATTATTCTGACTCTTAAATAAATAATTATCTCCTGTTCCATATAGAAATACCACATTTTTAAAATGAATTTCGAATTACTCGTATGTCAGGTTTATTTTCATTCCATGCTTTTATTATCCACTCGAATATTATTCCTAGACTGGCTTGACGCATTTGTCCTCTTTCATTTAATGTTTTTTCACCTCCTAATATCCATGTATTCCACTATTGTTTTAATTTTCTTTGAATGGTTTATTGATACACGCATCTAATAGCTGAACTAATGATGTTAATGCGCCTGCAATAACTGCCATATCTATATTACACTCTTTCAACCAAACATCCTTGCCGCAACATGATTTGAAATTTCTTTCGCAAGTTGAATGAATCAGCATTTGACAGCGGCACTGTGTATCTTTTGGCAAGAGGCATATTTACTACTGAATTATTACCATTTCAACTAAAACATATGCGATTCAATAAAGCCATCGATGTTTACTTCAAAACCACTGCTTCAAATCAACTACAGAAAGAAAGAATATCCGTTTCCTAATTCCGTAAGCACATTCAAGTCCTAAGTACATTCTTACTCCAAATTATTACCCCCATTTCTCGAAACCCTAGAATAATATTCTTGTACACATCTGCACTGAATACATCCCTCTCTCTTTGCAGAATTATTAACTCTGTCAAGCATTTCCACCACACACTACTATTCCCCTTATCACTTGTCAATTCAGAATACCACTGCTGCAAAGCTTGGGAAAAATCTTCCAGTGAACGTTATACGTATATGGTAAATATACCTAAAAATTAAAAAATATAACTTGAAATTAAAAGACGCACGTTACACGCCGGAATATATGACAATTAGAAGAACACATGCTTTAATTTGAAAAGCTGCAGAACTTTTAGAATGACCCAATATAATTAAATTTGATTGTTCAGACTTTTAATTTTCTCCTTTCCTTCAACCTGGCTTAAAAAATTTTGATTGCAGACATATGAAAATATCAGGAAATACTTCATTTGAAGCATTCCATAAATATAAGATTTAATATTCTTATTCACAATACTTACTTTAGTTTCATGAGCAGTGAGCTTCTCTGGTAGACGATGATCACTAAAATATTTGAAAATGGGAAGTTCAATTTCTTGAAATCAGAAATTTTTTTTAAAAATCCCAATTTTTATGTAAGAAAATAATGAAAAACTTATTCTAAAACTACTATACTATACTACTACAAATACTTTTTTGATTAAAAAGTTGATTAATCACTCATACATTTTAGATAAATTGTCTGCTAAGTCCACACAGAAATTTTATCTCAATTACACTGCTTTTTTAACAAACAAAATTTTTTTGTTTATTCAGTACAGTAAAGACAAATATTAAAAATTTATAAAGTACTTAACTGTGCAGAAAATATTAATACAAAATTATAATGAAATTATGCTCGAGTGTATTAAATAAGAATAATGAATAATTATACAAATATTGCATCAAAAATTGTATTTCTGATAGTATATACAACATACAACAGAATTATAACACAAATAATTGCACATACATTGTCCAGTAATACTAATGTGACTGCCTCCTAGTTTCGGCGTCAACCTGAAATTACCAATTACAGAACGTAGGTGGCAACACTAAGCAATGGAGGGTTTTTAGTGTATTGGAGTAGGATCAGAAAATATAAGAAATAAGTCAAAAATAAGACTATGTTGTGTTTGAAACAAATTCTAATAAAATGTAATGAAGTAAAATGAAATAAAACAATAAAATTAGTAACATAAAGATTATGGAAAATGTCATTATGAACAGAAGATATAAGAAATAAGTTAAAATTCAGAGCCCAAAGGACTTGAAACTATTTAAAATATAAGGAAGAAAAAATTTGCATCTAAAATTAAGGCCGTGCGAATAAGCAATTAAATTCGGAAATAAAAGGTATAAAGGGTACATTTACAGATTAAGCATTATCTAGGTAGTAAAATAACTGGAATGTAAAGAAAAATATTTTTAAACGGATAAAAATTGATTATGAAAGGTAAACATTATCGCAAAATAAATAAAAGATAAACTCTTATAAAAAAAATCTCTCTTATCTTGTCCTTTCCCTACGAGGGTGGCTACGCCTCTGTCTGTGGGCTATTGTGCTTGCAAGTTTGAGATTCTGGCGCTTTTACTTTCATTAATAATTAAGAACAATAGCTATCCACCTTTTTTTAAAGTAAAGCAAAAGGGAATACGATATAAACAGTAATAGTCTATACCCCTTGCTTCTTGCAGAATCTATACCCCTTGCTTCGCACCAGATGTCCAGATAGTTCTCATGCTTAATGAAATTGTACAGTTTTTAAAATTTCAGCCCCGTTGTTCGGGAGAACTTGACTGGCACCCAATGCAGCCTATGTCGCCTATGCCTACATTCGGTCTTGATAAAACATTAAAGCATACATGTACATATGTTGGGGGGGGGCGGTCTCAAAACAAATAATACGTCCAAAACTCAAATTTCAGTTATGTTCTGAGGACAAATAAACCTCACAACATTATTTAGAGCATATATATACAAACTTTGCGAATGAAAAAATAACTTACTGTATGAAACCATATCGATCCGTAACATGATAAACTTCTAAAGCTGGATCTTCCCAAGACAGTATTTCATTTGTTTCACTTCTTCCAGCATCATACTTAGATATAATGGCTTGATCATCATCACTGTTAAAATTTTCACCTTCATGGCCATCTGAAAACATTTGCACCATACCTCAGACTCTCCACGTTTAGTAGTGTATATACTAACATCAAATACCATCTATACACCTAAAAATGCAGATGTGATTTTAATATTTGATTCTCGTAAACAGATTAACATGGCTAGAAATAGCTAGTCACATTAAAGAAATTTCAGATAAAAACTTTCTAATAATTTCGAGTTTTTTTTTTTTCCCCCCCTCAGAGGAGGTATGCATAGTTACATGAGCAGTAGGATGCCTTAGTACAGGGGATAACATGAGGCACTCTGTTTACACAAGTGTTACATGACCAAATTTATATATATATATTTATCAAATTTTCACAACAAAATGTATAAAATCCTGCTTGTTAATCTTTTAAAAAAAGTTAAATTTTACTTTTATTAAACATCTTAAATTTCATTAATTTCCAATTAAGAAAGGTCATAATCCTTTATATAGAATAAATGCAGTGTTTAAATATCTGCCTTTAAAGTCCTTGAAATACAATTTTGGACATTTCAACATTTCATTGCAATAATAATGCAAACCTTTTTATTAATTAATAAATTTAAATATTATAAAAAATATTTCCATTATAATATTCCTAATATTATTTCATGAAAAATATATTCATTGACTATTATTGTCACATTTTTACTTTCACAATTTAAGATTTGCATTTATTTAAGAAGAATTTAAAAAATAAAGAAAAATAAATACAATGACAGAGATTTTTTTAAATAAATGTTTATATAACTGTAGAAATTTCCTACATACTCATGAGTAGAATATTCAAAATTTTTTTTTTCTCCTAATTCTCAATTTATATGAAAGTTAAATTTAATTCTACACTAATTAAAAAAATTACAACAAGTTAAAAATAATGTAACAGCTTACTCATCATTTTTCTCAAGAACAATGTGAAATGGCCTTCTCAACATTCTAGAAAAAGAAAAACAACTTTTAGCTACATGAATTCATTAACATATTTAGTTTACAAGAATTCATATCAATAGCACAAAATTAAAAAAAAGCTAAAATTTAGTTTTAGAAGGAAGTAAAAATTAGCATTTAATCATTAAATTATTCTTTCACATATTTCATCTGAATTTACAACTTTTTTTTTTTTTATGTGTGTGCAAAAAAAAAAAAAAAAAAAAAAAAAAAAAAAAAAAAAAAAAAAAAAAAAGGTGCAAAATACAATAAAAATAAAATGCTATTATATTAACTTCAAACAATCATGAGATTACATTAATTTTCGATAAAACATATTATCTCTTAAAAAAAAACACTCATTCTTAAGGTTAAAGTCCTACATACTACTTATTGGACTGAATTAAATCTACTTCGTCGATAGCGCATAAACCACAATAGAATAAATGCACTCTTTAAAATTCACTATATTTGTTTACCATACCAAAGTGACACTCTGGACCTACGCTAACAGCGTTACATTTCATTCATTTTATAACTTAGAATGCACAAAATTTATATCATCTGAAGAATTGTCTAATCGTTGCCACATGTTCTATTCAGATATTATAATAAATTTAAAATGATGTATAAAAGAAATTAAACAACAACAACAACAACAAAACAAAAAAAAAAAAAAAAAAAAAAAAAAAAAAAAGAAAAGAAAGAAAGAAAGAAAGAAAGAAAGGGGGGGGGAGAAAGAAACAATTTTTTAAAGACGATTCAGTATTTCTCATTCAATTAATTCAGTCCTCACTTATCCACAAGGCCATACTACATAACAACTCAAAATACCTATATTAAAAATTAAGAAAGTAAATCTTAAACAAAGGCTAAAATACATAAAACTCAAAATATCTATATTAAAAATTAATAAAGTAAACTTAAACACTTATTTCCTTGAATAAATTCCAGAATGGATTAAGCATGATTTAATTCCCAATAAAATAAAAGAAGGCGTTATCTTTGTTGTTGCGAAGTTTAGTTTCTCTGGATTGGCAATAAATCACTATTCTGCCAAGTTTTAATGTAAACAAACATGGTCGCCATGGCAAAAATAATTAGGCTTAGCCGCACTTAATTTTTAAACTGTTGATAATTCTACAAATACTGCACTCAGATTTACTAAAGGCATAAAAACCTTAACCGTAAGATAAGAACAACATAATTCAATCATATTTTAAAGAAGGGAAAAAAAAAAAAAAAAAAGGCAAAATTTACAAACACATAAGAATAAAGGAACTGAGATCACTGAGTCGAGTAACAGAGTGGATATATATTATACTTTTTGGTGCGGCCAACCAAAATACAAGGTGCACATCTAATATTTTATCCTATATACACAATTATGTATGTTATCCTATATACAAAATTTCAACATTCTGAAGCTACTCGTTTTTGAGTTATGCGAGATACGTACATACGTATATATGCCCAGACCCACGAAAAATTCTCTTCAGAATTCATTTTAAATTAGTTATATATATATATATATTTGGGGGGAAGAGTCCTTTATTCTGTCCTTACGTACAGATGTCATAAGATGCAAAAACATCATTAATTTGCATTCGATAGCGGTAAAAATAGATATTTGCGCTGAAGTATGATGCCTGAAACTTTTCGCGATTACAATAGCTACTACTTTTAGCTACATGAATTCATTAACCTATTTAGTTTACAAGAATTCATATCAATAACACAAATTTTAAAAAAAGTGATCTGATCTCTCAGATTGCACTACGCTGTAAGAAAGACACTCTTTTTACTTCGTACAAGGAAATAAAAATTACCTCGTCTACTAGAGAATAAGCTCCGGTGAAACGTGACAACATTAAAGTATGTAAATCTAAAGTTCACTATTCTTAGTGAGGAATTTTGACGAAATACATGCGTACGAGCAGGGTTATTTGAACTACATTTTATATTCCATATTTACTAAGTTTCTTCATTAAGCTCTTAGATGCGGGTGAGGGTTTTTGCTGTAATAATAAGTCTAAAAATTATCAGTCAGCTTAATAGAATTAATATAAAAATCTGATGTGTACACCACATGACTTCCTTGTACGGAATATTAAATTATACGCATTTTTTCTTGCATTTCGTTTAAACTTATTGGATTTCATTAAATCTACTTCGGCGTCAGCGCATAAACCACAACAGTTAACTTGAGTCATTCAACAGTTTTCAAGATCATTAAACGATATAAAAAGAATCATATGATTCAGGATATAAGAAGACCTGGCCGGCCATCAAAGCTATCCAATGGAATAAAGAGAATTATCGTTCGAAATATTAAACAAAATCCAAGAATGAGTGCTCCTAAAGTTGCTGCTGATTTGCAAGCAACTGAAAACAACTGCAAGCCATACAACGTCCATTCCTTTTCCGGATCACAAAATGTTATAAAACAACATCAAATGCTGCCCTATGTGTACTTTCAGGAATAGCACCTCTTCATACTTTAGCACAAACTGAACATGCAAAAGCCACAGTTCTCAAATTAAAAACATCCTGCATATTACATGATGAAATATTTAATCCAAACAATTTTGAAATTTCAGTCAACCCCTGCAGAAGACATCCTGCCTCTAATCCTAAAATATATAGCACAATAAAACCTCCAACCAGTCATATATCTCCACCAATAATAATATACACAGATGGATCGAAAATGGACTTAGGAGTTGGCTGTGCATGTATAATACAAATAGATCAAACCCAGAAAATAACTCTCCAAAATAGACTCGCCAAGGAAAATAATATCTTCCAAGCAGAATTACACGCAATTCGAATGGCAATAGAATACTCAATCGATAACAATTTACAAAAAATCAATATTTTCTCAGATAGTCAATCCGCAATACTAGCTCTACAAAATCCCAAACACACATCTGAAATAATCCAAGATATTTTTAACAAAACTATCCAATATCCTCAAATATCACCAAACATTTATTGGATAAAAGCTCACGTCGGAATTCTTGGTAACGAAGAAGCCGATTCAGCAGCCAAATCAGCTACTACCAACAATAATATCCCTTCAAGAAAAATCTCCTGGCCAAAATCATACCTCAAGAACTATCTATGTAAAATCAGCCTCCGAATGTGGGAAGAAGAATGGACAACAATAAATATAGGAAGACAATTACATCAAATAGCACCTCATGTAAATGATACATGTACAATGGTCAATGGTTATATAAACCGCTTTTTAACTGGACATGGGTCATTTCCCACATACTTCTTCAGATTCAACATCTCAAACTCTGAGCAATGTGTATGTGGAAATAAAGGTGATCCAATCCATTATATTACTCAGTGTCCCTTTACAAAGTCAACTCATATTAAATTGCCTAATTCAAATATCAATGCCTTCCTTCGTTTTGCAATTACCAACAAACATTTAAAAAATAAAATAGAAAATACAATGAAATATCTATCTTCAATAGGCAAAAATTTATGTGAGCACTAAAGTAATTAATGTCAAAACTCATTTTTGAAGCTGCAATTCATCTAAAACATTTCTTATCAAATTATCTTAAAAACAAACCCTTGCAATAATACTGATATAGTAAAAAAAAAAAAAAAGGAAAAAGAAGAGGAAGAAGATACAGATTCATATAATAAACTTTATCTCAAGGAACTATTATGAACTGTTATAAATTATGACTGTTAGCCTACTATTATTATACCTATTATAACTTCTATAATTATATCTAATAGATATGATATCAATCAAAATAGCAATATACTATTTATACTGTTATATTATATGTATTTTTTTTTTAATATTAACTTTAAAAATAAACCGAAGTGTAGTGGGACTATACCTACATTACTTATAGTAAACATTGGGTGTCCCACTACATTTCCACCTGAACCTGAACCTGATTTGCAAGCATTATATGGAGTAATTGTTAATCCTGAGACTATTAGAAGAGTAATTCGATCTGCTGGATATCATGGTAGAGCAGCCAGGAAAAAATTCTTCGTAAGTGAAAAGAATAGAAAACTCAGACTGGCTTTCGCAAAATTCAACATAAATAAGAATTCTGATTACTGGAATGAAGTTGTATTTGTGGATGAGAGTAAATTTAATATATTTGGTTCTGACGGTAGAATCTTGGTGTGGACAAAACCCAGGGAAGAATTTCGCAAACAGAACTTGGTGCCAGCATTAAAACATGGTGGAGGAGGAGTTATGGTATGGGGGTGTATGTCGTCTGCTGGAGTTGGTAATCTTGTTTTTATTGACAATATAATGGATCAGTACAAGTATATTGACATTTTAAATCAAAATTTGAAACCTTCAGCACGAAAATTGAACCTTCATAACGATTTTAAATTCTACCAGGACAATGACCCCAAGCACACTGCTTTGAACATTAGACTCTGGCTGCTGTATAACTGTCCTGAAATAATAAAAACAGCACCACAATTTCCAGACTTAAATCCCATAGAGAATATTTGGCAAGAATTGGAATCCAGAATTCGCAAACACACCATTTTTTCAAAACAACAATTAAAATCGGTGCTTCAAGAAGAATGGGGTAAAATCACTCCAGAAATCACAAAAAAATTAGTCGAATACATCTAAAGAAGATTAAATCATGTTTTAAAAGTAAAAGGAAATCCAACAAAATATTAAAACCTTTTAAAAAATAAAATTTTTGGATAAATATTTGATGGAAAAGTAAGTGTCCCATCATTTATGTGACCCATTTTTTTGCTCCGTTCTAAACAATTGTATTTTTATTAAATTAATATTTAATATTTTGAGAAAATGTATGTTATGTAATAATTGTTACTAGATTTAAGTATGAAACACACCCACAAAAAATTTTTACATGTTTTTTAAATTTATTTTACTACAGTTTCCTTTTGTAAAGCACAAGTGTCCCATCACTTTTGTGAGACAATGTAAATATATTTATATACGTTTGGGGCGGCCGATTGCAACCAAAATACGA